TTGTTTGTTTGTTTGTTTTTTGTTGTTCCTTTACAAGAAGCAGACTGGGCCAATGTCTACGCCGAACTCCTGCTCGGCTCCACCAATGTCCAAAGGTGCAATGTCCACGATGGGCAGGCGCGAGGTCTTCTGCGACCGGTACTCGATGACCGTCTTGCCCCACTTGCCGGTGTGTTTCTGGGGAGAAGGAGGCAAAAAAAAAAACAAATTAAAGGTGTTATTAGACACCCTCAAACTCCCCCCCTCAATCACCAGGTTGACCCCTCCAACATCATCATCATCATCATCTTTGAGAAGACCTAAAATCCCACCGAGCTCTCAATGAGCTGTTGGGAGTCTCTCGGTGTTAACTATGCTGGAACCATCCTGGTTCTTCAGCTTGAACCCACACACACCCCCCCTGCTCTTTTGAGGTCTGATTTGACAGATAAGCTGGTGGCTGGCCTGGGAAGGTGTGACTGGCAGTCAGCCACTTCATGCTCTAAAAGTCCAGTCAGGTTCTTCTGACATAAACCCTTCTTGAGGTTTCTCTCTTGGCTGGGGATGCCACTCCTTGAGGTTGAGAGCAGAGATCTCCCCCGGTCTGGGCGAGTTACGTCATATCTCCACTTATTAATCGTTTCTTTTAGTCAGCTTTAATACAACTGCTCTAATAATTGCTTTGTTACTGTGCACTGTACTACTTCATATTATACTTTGTCAATAGAGTATAGTATTATACTCTATATTATACTCTACTATATTACACTCTACTGGTAGATTTTCAGCCCCAGGGACTCCTGTCTGAGAAGGGATTCCTTCCTGTGCCTCCAGACTCAGATTCTACCACCTCTGTGGGAGCTTCCTCCTCCCTCCCACGCCCGGACCCTCTGGTGGGCTCACCGTGCATCCATCCTCCAGGACGCTGTAGGTGAACCTGCTGTTGCCCTCGGCGCGGATCTCCACGTCGTTGGAGCCCTGGATCAGCAGGGCTTTCTTCAGGTTGCCCGTGTCCTCGTCCAGGTAGGCCACGCTGTTCTTGCAGTGGTAGGTGACGTTCTGGGAGCCCTCGGTGGACAGGAGGCGCAGGAAGGTCATCTGGATGTTGGCCGTGTTGGGGGCCAGGTCTTCGTCACCGTAGCTGAACTGGAGGGGGGGAGGAGGAGGGACGTTGGAGCCCCGGAGGGTGTTGCCACAAGGCTGCTTTGGGGGGGGGGGTCTCCCGTAATTTGCCTCCCCAGGTGGCTGCAGACACCCCATCCCAACTGCCCCAACCCCGAGCAACGCTCTGGGTCAGCCAGTGTGTCGTGTAACACCATCAGCTTCACCCCAAGGAGGGACATCCCAACCCTCCAAATGGACACCCAGTGCTTTCCCCCTGCTCAACCTCCACCCCCTGCTCTATCTCCGCCCTCCTGCTCAACCTCCACCCTTCTGCTTGACCTCCAACCCTTCTCAACCCTAACTCCCTGCTCAACCTCTACCGTCCTGCTCAACCTCCAACCCTTCTCAATCTCCAACCCCTGCTCAACCT